TAGTGCGATATGCTTATCCAACAGCTCCCGAAGACATGATGGAAAAGTTGGCCGTTCAAACGTTTATTGATGGTCTTCGTGATCATGAGATGCAAAGAACACTACGATTAGCTCGTCACAAGACGCTGGTTGATGTCTTATCCGCCGCTCTTGAATACGAGTCAGCCACGCAGGCCTCTGGCGGGTACAGTAAAGTTAGGACTGTAAAAGAGGAAGGAGATGAAGATAAACTTGACCAGCTCTTTAATATGATAAAAAGCATGACACACAAGAAAACGAAGACCATAAGACCGAAGACAAAACCAGAACGCGTCGGCCTTAGGGGAGCAGCTTCGACCCAGAACTTTACCAAAGACCCTCTGATACTAATAGCTTCTTTGAAATGTCGTGAAGATAGTGTATATGTAGATGGAGAAATAAATGGTAAAAAGCATACGTTGTTGGTGGATACTGGAGCGACCAGAACCATTATACGCCCGACAGTTATAAACAGCCGAAAGAAACTGTTACCAACGAGGTTGCGACTTCGGACCGCCACAGGGGAAAATGCCAACATTCATGGAGAAATCCAGGTACAATTAGGAATTGGAGCAGAAAAGTTCGTCCATACTGTTATAGTTGCTGACATCGAAGAGGATGTTATATTAGGAATGGACGTAATGAATACGCATGGATTCCAATTGGATTTTAAAAATAAAGTAATCAAAGTTGGTAACGAGGAGGTATTTCTCCATCCACATGATGACAACACTATGCAAGCAGCCGTTAAAGAAGATACAGTCGTGCCTGCGAGAAGTGAAACGATAATAGTAGCGCGGCTACAGGGAATTGTGGACGAAGGAACACCTGTTATGATGGAGCCTTGGAATCATGACGACGAAGTTGGCCGTGGAATCATAATTGGAAAAGAATTAGTGACTTCGGCTAAAGAAATTCCTGTGAGACTTATTAATGTCAATGACTACCCAGTGACCATCAAGAAAGAGACAAAAGTAGGAACTTGTGTACCTGTCACATCCATAATCCGTCAGACGACAACGTCTGATAATTCCAACGATAAATTTGATCAAATGGTTGCGGTTGCTGGACAGTCTCTGAATCAGATTGAGAAAAGGAAATTAAGGGAATTTCTTCGGCAGTATCGTGATATTTTCGTACCGAAAGGAGGAAAGACGGGAAGAACTACCGTCGTTAAGCATAAAATTGATACTGGTAATGCTAAGCCAATTCGTCAAACAGCTCGACGATTACCACAGACGAAAAGAGAGGAAGCTGAAACGATTGTTCAGGAAATGAAGAAAGACGGGGTGATAGAACCTTCTACGAGCCCATGGGTCTCTCCGGTGGTCCTGGTTAAGAAGAAAGACGGAACAACGAGGTTCTGTGTGGATTACCGTTTGCTGAACAACGTTACCAAGAAAGATAGTTATCCTCTGCCTCGGATCGATGACACATTAGACACATTGGCTGGAAGTAAATTATTTTCCACTTTGGATTTGAAGTCTGGATACTGGCAGGTAGAAATGGACCCGGTAGATAAAGAAAAGACAGCCTTCACCACAGGATCTGGATTATGGCAATTCAACGTTATGCCATTTGGACTTTGTAACGCTCCTGCGACATTTGAGAGGCTTATGGAAAATGTGTTGAGAGGGTTATCTTGGAAAACATGCCTAGTTTATCTAGACGACATAATCGTCTTGGGGAGACATTTGAAGACCATCTGAAGAATTTAGAAAACGTTTTTAATCGACTTAAAGCTGCCCAATTGATGTTAAACCCCAAGAAGTGCCAGCTATTTCAAGGTAAAGTCAATTATCTGGGTCATATAGTCAGTAAAGAAGGAGTGGCCGTGGATAAGGGAAAAATCGATTCTATTAAGGAATGGCCAAAACCAACTGACAAACATCAAGTGAGAAGTTTTCTGGGACTGTGTACTTACTACCGGAGGTTTATTAAGAAGTTTGCAGATATCGCGAAACCATTAACGCGACTTACAGAGGAAGCAAGAGAATACCGCTGGGATGTAGACTGCCAGAATGCCTTTGAAACCTTAAAAAAGCATTTAATCACAGCACCAATTTTAGGGTATCCACTGCCAGAAGGAGAGTTCATCTTAGATACAGATGCAAGTAATGTGGGAATTGGAGGAGTGCTGTCTCAGATTCAAGGAGGACAGGAAAGAGTCCTTGGATATTTTAGTAAAGTTCTCTCAAAACCTGAGCGAAATTATTGCGTCACGAGAAGAGAACTTCTGGCAGTAGTGAAATCAGTAGAGCACTTCTATCAATACCTCTATGGAAGGAAGTTTTTAATCCGAACCGACCATGCCGCCCTTAAGTGGTTGATGCAGTTTAAGAATCCAGAGGGTCAGATAGCCAGGTGGATCGAACGACTCCAAGAATATGATTTTAAGATTGAGCACCGGGCCGGAGTTAGCCACCGAAACGCTGATTCTCTTTCCAGAAGGCCATGCCCAGCAGAGTGTTCTCACTGCAACAAAACGGAATCCAAGGAAGCAGCAGTGCTAAGAACGACGGTGGTTCACGACGACTGGACGCCTACCAAGATCAGGGAAGAACAAGAGAGAGATTCAGTTATACAGAAAATCCGAAAATGGAAAGAGGAAAACCGTCGACCACCTTGGCAAGAAATATCGAACCTAGGCTCGGTAGTGAAGACGTATTGGGCCCAGTGGGACTCATTTATCATGGAAGATGGCTTGCTCAAACGAGTCCTGGAAAATGATGACGGTTCAGAGAAGAGAAGACAGTTGGTGATTCCAAAGAGCAGAATAGCCGAAGTACTTCGTCAGTTACACGACAGTCCATCAGGAGGGCATTTTGGTGTGAAGAAGACCCTTCAGCGAATTCGGGAACGGTTTTATTGGATGAACAGTTCCGACGATGTAAAAGACTGGTGTAAGAAATGTACTATTTGTGCTACGAGTAACGGGCCTTATCGAAAAAGGAGAGCTCCTATGAGACAATATAATGTTGGAAGCCCGTTTGAAAGAATAGAAAGAAGTTTGGTCGAGTTGCAGAACTTCAATGCCAAGTGCCAGCTCCTGGTAAAACCTTGAAACTTCAAGATGCATCACGTTACCTTTTCTACCTGGTAACAAAAGACACTGCCCGTGACCAACCTACCTACCGAGATGTATGGGAAGCCTTACTTCAGTTGAGAGAGCACGTACTAGAGTCCGACGTGCAAAAGTTAGCCATGCCAAAGTTAGAGTGCCACCAATTAGATTGGAGGGTTATACGAAACATGGTGGAGGAAATCTTTAAAGACACCGAAGTCCAGGTGTTAGTCTGTTGCAATCCGCATAGTTACTGGTGCGGAGAGAAAACTGTCCCTTGTCATTTCTATACAACTGGAAGGTGTAAAAGAGGGTCCAGTTGCCGATATCAGCATGCCGCTCCAGTTCCAGTCCCGACAAGGTTCCAGGAGGAACCATCTTTTAAGAGGGGGGCAATGTTACGATTTTAAATGTTATGGCATATAGAACTGTAAATATTTTATGACTAATTCTTTTTATTGATTCTCGTAATTTGTAGGTCAAAAATATACCTGAGCTTAGCTACCAGTTGTTTACCAGAAATCTCTAGACACTAATTTTGGTGAATCATCCACGTCTCGAGGTTGAAAAACGAGTCGAGCGCCTTCACCAAAATACGAGACTATTCAAGAAGTCCGCCGAATTTTCTGGATGACACAGTTGTGTATATAAATGAAAGATTTTTATTGAAGAGGTCAGTTATAAGAAGCTCGCGAACCGCGATATTTAGATGTAACGAAACGTTAATAAATTATTTGTAATTAGGATTAATAAAGACTTTAATAAATTCGTAATTAGTTATCGTGAGTTTTAATAAATTAGAATATAGACAATAAATTAGAATAAAGACAAATAAATTAGAACAATATAAATAAACTTAACAGTACCTTTCCTCATTCTTATTTCTTTGTTTTCTTCGTTCTTCCATTAGCTCTACTATTTTTTGTCTCGTCCACGGCTGTTTCTTTATATTGTTTTATGGTTTAAGTTTATTATCTACCACTTAATTACAGATATTTTTGATTTTATTCCACATATCATCCACCTTATGTTTTGTTGATTAATATCTGAGATCAGCATGCTGTTTATTTTGTTGTTGATTTCCTGTTTGACTTCGTCTCTTGTGGTTTTATCTTTCAATTTCTGGATGTCCGGACGTTTTTGTGCTTTTCTTTTATGAACTTTTTTCATGTGGAATTTGAAACGTCCTAGTAAAAGATTATGGTCTGACAGTACATCTGCTCCCGGATATATTTTTGCGGATTTTACGGAATTCTGAAATCGTTTGTTGATGATGATGTAGTCAATCTGGTTTCTAATCATGTTTTTCGACAGTCAGCTGGAGATTTCCAGGTGTAGAGTCTTCGAGGTGGTAATTGGAAAAAGATGTTCATTATTGCACTATCCGTTTCCTGGCAGAACTGAACAATGCGGTCTACTCTATCACTTCGCGTTCCTAGTCCAAAGTGTCCCACAGTATTGCCAACACCTCCTTTGCCTACTTTGGCGTTGAAGAGATTTAAGGATGTTAAAACAACAGTACATGTTTATAAATATATCACGACATCTTTGAGCAAGTAGGTTCATCTCAAACAATGCCTCTCTCGTTCCAAACCCGTTATAGAAACAGGTTTGGAGTGAAAAAAGACACAAGATAAGTTTCCTAAAATTGCATTATCAAAGGCCTTCTCGTGGTTAAACAATTTCCTAACAATAATCAACGAATCAGGTGAATGTTTTAAATAAAAATAATAAAAAGTACCAAAAAAGAGACTACTATCATATATAGAGACTTGTTCCAATATCATGTTCTTAACAGTTAAATAAGTTTTAAACAATATACTTGTCACAATTTTATTAAGAATACTTTTTCTGTTCAGATTAGGTCTATTATATTTTGCAAAATCTAAAGAATCTATAAAATTGTAGTAATACATACCGGTCGACAACAACGATTGGTCCATTTTGAACTCTCTGCATTTCTAATACAAATGTAGGTAAATGATACATCTCACTGATCTTAGGTACCTGATGAGGCCAATTCACGCAATGGAGCATTTTAATAGGTATTTCATAATCGTCCTGAACAGATTTCATCAAAAATTCTCGAATATAATAGTTAGAGGTGCTGTGTTCGTGTGTTAGTTGGCAAATATATGTATCAGTTTCAATGACTTCATTTCCAACGGGCCAGAAAGCTTCATATTCAGAGTTATCGATGAAGCTTATGAAGACTATCAAATGTGCGTTATGATCCCAAACCATTTGCCAAAAATCGTATACGGTGTGCTTGAATGGATGCTGAGTAATGATGAATTCACGAAGGTTGTGAAAACCTTGCAACCAGCTGGCATTGATATAATCAGATCCATCTTCACCAGGCTTTGGAGTCAAATGAACTCGAGAACTTTCTACTGGAACAATTATTGCGCATCTATTCTTTGGTTGATTCACCGGTTTGTTGGCAGAGACAAGGTGAAAGTCTTTAGGAACGAAGCTGGTAACTAGCTGCAATTAAAAATATATTTTAGTAATTTTATTAACAAATAATTTTTCAAAAATTTTGATAAAAAGCAGATATGAAGCGATTATATATTTAAAAAAATTGGGGATAAACAAACAGAAAAATAAAAACAGCATAACAGAAAACATGGTATTAATTTTTGAGATGAAGGTCCATATTTTCACCATTATTCTTGGTTTTGAGCTGGACTTTTCAGCTGAGACAACTTTCCAAAGTACTTATCGTGCTCTCTCTATATTGAGAGAATTGAAGATTGATAAATATATTCAATTTTCAATATATTCTTCTCAGTATTTTTATCTCCAAAATTTTCAATAGCCTTTGTGTTGTGACTGTGTCGGTTTTTTTATGATGCATACACCATTGTTCGTTTTATACTGGCTGTATAAATTCTTCATTTCTTAACAGTCTTCTATTTGAGTATTAGATTTGAGAAATCTGAAGAAGGTAAAGATAGATGGAAAGAGAAAAGTTTTGTTGAAGATCCACATACATCCTCAGGCAGGGTTGCGCAAGTACATGATGTAGGTCGTTCTTCAGTGTTACGTATATTACGTAAAAATAAGTTTAAACCATACAAAATAAACTTATTGCAAGAATTAAGTGAAGATGACTTCGATCTTAGATTAGAGTTTAATGAGGTAATGATGGATAAAATTGAAAATTATTAAAATTTCGTTAACATAATATGATTTTCGATGAAGCAATCTTTACAGTGTGTGGAAGTGGAAATCGACACAATTTAAGGTACTGGAGTGACGCAAATTCACACTGAATGCGTGAAAACCATACTCAAAGACCACAAAATTTAAATGTATCGTCAGGTATAGTAGGTACTCAGTCAATTGGGTCATTTTTTATCCATATTATAAAGAAATTTAACGTCAGATAGTTGGTGTAGATGTTCGGCGTTATTTAGATGACATATTTCCCGGACGATAAATTGGTAGACAAGGTAGAATTACATGGTCTTCACGTTAACCCGATTTCAATCATAAAGATTATTTTTGTTCAAAGTCATCAAAGTCTTGCAGAACTAAGGCAACGAATTATCGATGAATCTCGAATTGTTTCTAGACCATCGTGGAGAAATGTGATAGACGCATTCTACCATTAATTAGGGTACTGTCAACTCATAAATTGAGCACATTTTGAACACTTAATAACGTAACTATTGTTAAAAAATGTTCTAATCTATCAATTGTTACGTTTTAATGTAGTTGAAAATAATTAGTATTAAAAAATTTATTGAAACAATTAGGCGTTGCTAGACTTGTGTTTTATGTATTTAAGACCTTTCAGACTACATAAAATCATAAGTGTTACATATGGTTGAACTCGTATTGAATAAGAGATTCCAACAATGACTAAATATACAGGGTGATGCATTTAAAAAAACGAAAGTTACTAATAATATAAGAGAAACGGAAAATCTGGCAACATTGCAAATATCAAATATGGAATCTTCGTATCCCAAAATAGGTGTACCTCAAATTTTGTACAATTATAACTAGCAATTTACGAGATAATTGGCCGTTTCCAGACTTTTGGGTCACTCTGTATTTTTGTTGTATTATATTTCCAATATCCCTTCAATAAAACAATATAAACAACAGACAAATTTACTGACTTCGTTTAGATTTACACATTAATAATAAAAGTTTCATATCGGCCCTATTTTATAGTTCACTGGATTATTCTTGTTTAGTAATGTTTATTATAAACTATATTTATAAATAAATCTCGGAAATGTAAATTGTTGAATCGTCATTATAAGTTTTATTTTACTGATCTATAAATAAGAAACTGGTAGTTAGAAACTGGCAATAGGAACCTTGTGTGAAAATATATTAGCGAAGTGTCCCATAAATCATACAAAAACTCTTTATAAAGAAGCTCGTGGTTCATACAATTTTCAATTCGATTTAAAGGGAGGAATACTGTTGTAAAACGGAACGATAATAAGGGTGTTACTGTAAATTTTGATAATATAGAACCTGTTCAGGAGAAAATTCTAAAGCCCAACCACTAACATATTATGGAAAAAGTACTGTAACATTGTGTAAAAATTGCTATATACAATATCATAAAACATAAACTTATTTTTATTAGATGCATATAAAAATGTTAATTCTCACAACTGTTTTTAAATTATTTATACATTCTTGCAATTATAATAGTACTAAAACCCAGTGATCTATTTACAGGATGGATCAAAATTAAAAAGTGTAAAGACATAAAATAATTTCATGAATATTTCCATAAACCTATTTGGTCCAAATGTACTCGTCTAAGTACAGCAGCAAAAATGGCTTAGTAGTGACACATCTGGTAAAAAAGTGGTACTCCAAGTGTATGTCCGATTCCATTAGGAAGTTTTCTACTAGATTTTCACAAATTATACCCTAGGTGGTGCTCTTCTTCCTAATTTTTGCCGCAGTAATTATAAGCTAACCTACATATTTTTGTTGGATCATTGAAGTGTTTGTTATTTTGATACTATTTATCATTTTTTTTTACTTTTTATTGTTGTAAGGGTAAGTACTAGTAATGTTTATTTCTTCAGTATAAGATTTTTTTATTATTGTTGTTTTTATGTTACAAAATACACCTGTACTCATCTGAGTACAGTGGGTTTGTATGAAATCACAATGATTATTTGGTTTTTTATTTCAGGTTCAATATTGGTATTGGAATGGATTTTCAAGAATTGTCTTCTATTAGTCCATTGGGTTTTGTGGAAAACGTTATAGAACTCTTGCTTTAGCTTCAGATGACCTAGCGAGTTGCACTCATAAAGATGTATCGGTGGTAGTTAATTCTCCTGAGACTGACTATCAAACTGACAATGAGGACATAGATAAGGTTGATCTTCAGACTTAAAGCTGTCCCAAAGACGTTCCCGGAGAAATAAAGGTTCATTACATGACTGATGACTCTGATAACGACGAAGAAAACAATCTTCCTCTTGCCATTAGAAGAGAAAATTTACTGAAGGGTCAAAATGTATATATGTACAGCGTTAACAGGCCTTTTAGGCCCATTGCTGGATGGATAATTTCCATCGTTTTCTATTCTTAGTTAACAGCTTCCAATCTCTGATTCCCATCTCTCTGACATCTTCCATCACTACATCTCTCCATTTCTTTCTTGGTCTTCCTCTCTTTTTTTTGCCCTCAGGTACTCTCCAAGCAATATTCTTGACTAGTCTATCACCTTGCATTCTTTCTAGATGACCGAGCCATTCTAGTCTACGTTTTTTTACCACTTTTGTTATTGTAGGGTTAGCATACAAATGATACACTTCTGCATTAGTTCGTCTTCTCCATTCTCCCTCTACTACTTTTCCACCAAATATTCTGCGAAGAATCTTTCTTTCCCATGCTTCCAATGTATTCTGTATGGTTTTGTTCATAGTCCATGTCTCGGCAGCGTATAGCATTGTGGGTCTAATTATAGTTTTATATACTCTTATTTTTGTATTACGAGATATATCTTTGGCCTTAATTATTTTGCTCATGGCTCCAGCACACCTGTTGCTCTTGGTCAGTCTCAGGTTGATTTCAGTTTCTTCCTTACATGTCTGATCAATAAGAGTACCTAAGTACATATATTCATCCACCTTCTCGAATTCTACAACTGATCCATCCTCCACCTCCAATTTAAAGGATTCCCTGGTGTTTATTCCTTTTTTGCTCGAGATCTCCATGTATTTCGATTTATTAATATTAATTTTCAGTCCCATTTTAGAGCTTTCCCGAATCAATCTTTTTGTTATATTTGATAGCTCTTTTCCATTTCTTGTAATAAGAACCACGTCATCAGCGTATGCTAAGCATTGGTGCTCCTTGTATAAAATAGTTCCGGACCTATTTATCCCACTATCCCTTACAATTTTTTCTAGAACTATATTAAATAGCAATGTAGACAACGGGTCTCCTTGGCGAACACCTTTTTTCACTTCAAATTCTTCTGAGATTGTACCGTTGCATCTCACAGCATAAATGGTTTGTCTAATTGTCATTTTTACCAATCTTATTATTTTTTCTGGCACTTGGAATTCTTTTAGTGTTTCTATTAACTTGTTTCTGTCTATTGTATCGTAGGCAGCTTTGTAATCAATGAAAAGTACTTGTGCTGAAATGTTGTATTCATAGCAATTGATCAGGATTTGTTTTAGCATAAAAATTTGATCGGTTGTTGATCTTCCTTTCCGAAATCCTCCCTGGTATTCTCCTAGATTCTTCTCTATATATATTTCTAATCGTTTTTTAATTAGTATGGCGAGTACTTTATAAATTACCTCTAATAAAGATATTCCTCTATAGTTTGCGCATTCAGTTCTATCTCCCTTTTTGTGTATAGGAATTATAATCGACTTATTCCATTCTTGAGGCATTTCTTCGGCATCCCATACTTCTAGTATTAGCTCGCCAAGTTTGTTTATTAAGGTCTCTCCTCCATATTTTATGTTCTCTGCCACAATGCCGCTCTCCCCGGGGCTTTTTTGATTTTTCATATCTTTTATTATTTCTTCAATTTCTTCTCTTGTGGGCCTTGGTATTTCTTCTATTACTATTTGAGGTTTAGGAACATAACAATTTTCTTCAGTAGTCACTTCTTCATTTAGCATCTCTTCGAAATATTCTTTCCACCTTTCACATATTTGGTCTTCGTCCACTATCAGGTGTCCTTGCTTATCTTTTACATTTATCGTTCTTCCCTGGTACCCAGTTTTAATGTATTTTACTTCTTTATAAAAAATTTTTATTTCATTTTTCTTGTAATTTTCTTCAATGCGCTTAATTTTATCATCCATATACTTTCGTTTGCGCTCCCTTAGGATTCTCTTTACTTTTTTTCGTTGTTCGGCATACCTTTCTAGGTCGTCTTGTTTTTGCGATCGTAAACTTTTTAATCTCAAATCTGATCTCTTTTTTAACTCTGTTCTGCATTCTTCATTGAACCAGTGGTTTTTTCTAAATCTTTTTGTTCTTGGTATGTTCTTCGACGTAGCTTCCTTTATAGTGGTTGTCATTTTCAAGAACTTTTGTTGTATGTTACTCACAGTAGTACTATCTTGTTTCGCGTAGGTTTCTTGTATATCCTTTTGATAATCCTGCGCTACCTCAAATTTTCGCAGTTTTTCATAGTTAAATTTACGTTGCACTTTCTTTTTCCGTTTATGCTTTTTAATTATTGCTTCTCTCATATTAATTTTAACCAAAAAATGATCTGAGTCTACGTCAGCCCCTCTGCACGTTTTCACATTTGTTATTAAATTGGCAAATTTCTCTTGTATTAAGATGTGGTCTATTTGATTAGTTCTATTTGATCCCGGAATTTTCCACGTTCCTTTATATATATTTTTTCTCCTAAAATGGGTACTCATTATCTTCATCCTGTTTTCAATTGCGAATGTTATTAATCTTTGTCCGTTATCATTTGTATTCAAATGTTTACTTTCACCCCCTGCTATGGTTTTATATATATCTTCTCTTCCGATCTTTGCATTGGCGTCGCCTATAATAATTTTAGTATCTTGTCTGGGCATTTCTTCACACAATGACTCTAATTCTTCGTAAAATTCGTCTTTCACTTCTTCGTCTTTTTCTTCTGTTGGAGCATGTATATTTATCAACGATATCATATTCTTTTTTCCCTTAATTCTAATTGCACACATTCTGTCAGATTTTACTACGAATCGTTTTACTTGCTCCACGTCTTCATGTACCAGAAAACCCACTCCAAAATTCCTATTATCGCCTCCACTTGTTTAAAACGTGTATGGGCTAATCTTTTTAATGTCGTTTCCAGTTAAATGTGTTTCCTGTATTGCTAAGATGTGTATTTTATATTTTTTTAGTTCTTCTATTAGGTTAATTAATGCTCCCTCCTCGTATACTCCTCGTACATTCCATGTAGCAATATTTAGGTACATATTCTTATTTTTTATTTTGCTATTTATGTTCAAACTCATTTTCCTGTTCATCGCTAGGGTCCGTTGGCATAATGGGTCATCTTTTCCTTTTTCCACTACTATATGTCGTTTTTTGGGTCCATATTACTAGAATTTTCTTGTTTAAAAGTACCATTTCCGGCCCATACCCATTTTATGCCATCCACAGTTAGTTTTTTGTACCCTATCTTCACATTTCTACCTTCAGCTCTTAATTTCTTGCCTTTATTTACGATTTCCTGCCTCATGTGTCTTTCTTTTTCGGTCAGGTCATCGTTGATGAAGATCTTTTCTCCAGTAAGAAATCTGAGTTTGTTTTTTTCTTTCATTACCTTAATTTTTTCGCCATAATCCTTCATTTGTATCAGACATATATTGTTCTTTAACTTCATTGCAGATTCTATTTCGACATCCTCTTTTAGGTGCTTTTGTATAAAATCTTTTACATTATGTTTTAAGATGTTTCATCTGTTGTGTTTATTGGTAGACCCGTAATTACTATGTTATTTCTTTTCATCTGTTTTTCAATTCTTTCTACTTTGTTTTCAACCTGGGTTAATTTGTTTTTTGTTTCTTCCAATTCTTGATTTATCTTTATATTTTCTTTTTTTAGCGCTATCATCTCTTCTCTATATTCCTTATTTTCATTCCTGATTTCTTTCAGTTCCGCCATCATCTTCTTGAACATGCTCATAACGTCGTCCAAATCCTCTGAATCTTCTTCCTTTGGTTTTCTTTTGCTTGGGGTTCTGGCAGTTTTTTTGCTCTGCAAGAAAGGTGAAGTTGACCCTCTATCTTTTTCCTTCTTGCCTTCTGACGTATTATCATCACTATCCGTGTACATCATATCTGTTTCTAAGGACCGCGAAAGGAACTAGATCCGCTTCAACCGCTCAAAAATCAGTCCTCAGTTTGTAGAACTATTTTTAACTTTGGCAACGTCGCAAAAATAACGGCCAGAGTTCTACCAGTATGACTGTTTCGAATTGTAAATAACCTTACTTATTTTTGTCACTTCAAACACTAGTTTTTATCGAAATCGGGTTTTTTTCCAGAAATTTTTCACTGTGGTATTACGAAACCTTTTTAAATTCACATATGTAAACAAATTGTAAATTATTTTTCGCTACTAATCGCAATATTTGGGATGTTAGTAGGAGAAAAATAAATTTACTTTTATCTGCTTAGTACACCGTTGCCGGAATCGAAGGGTCAAAATAAAACCAAGAAATCTGACTGGACGGAAGAAATTACTGATATTAGTATGACATCTACAACAGGTTACGAAGGTAGTCTGGATAGTATAAAAGACCAAATCCGAGGTAAATCTATAGAAATATTTGTGAAATTTTTAGACAATGAAATTATTGAATATATTACACAACAGACAACTTTATATGCCCCTCAAAATAATAATCATCAATTTCATGTAACGCAGGAAGAGATAAAGATATTTCTGGCTATTTTACTTTTTACCGGATACCATAGATTGCCACGAGAGTGCAACTATTGGTGTTTAGATGAGGATCTTCAGGTTTCCTTCGTGACTAATGCAATTTCAAGAAACCGTTTCTAAGAAATTAAAAAAATACCTATATTATCATAAAGTATTTTGGGCATCACTCATACTTTAAAGTCTACTACTTTTTGTAAAATGGAAGGATAAAAATGTCATAATGACATCAAATTACGATAGTATTGAACGACTTTCAAAAGTGAATCGTTGGTGTGCTGCTACCAAACGAAAAATTGATGTACCCCAACCAAAACTTTTCTCATCATACAATGCTTCAATGGGCGGTGTTGATCTCTTTGACCAATCAGTTAATAACTACCGAGTCAGTAAGGTAAAAAATGGTGGTGGCCCATTTTTACCCACATGCTCAACTCAGCTCTTGTTAACTCGTGAAGGTTGCAAATATTTGCGGAAAATAACTAAATGGATCTTTTGGCTTTTCAACGAGATGTAGTACGTCATTATTTAAGAAGTTTTGGGAAATCTACTTATTCTAAAAAACGACTAGCAGGATCTATACCAATTAGTCTAAAAATGGATGGAAGCGGTCATTTTCCAAAGAAAATAGACAAACAACTTCGATGTCGCTTATGCCATCAAAGAGTACATTGGATTTGTATAAAGTGTGAAGTTACTCTGTGTATTGAACGTGATTGTTTTGTACAAATTCATACTAGTTAGATTATAATACAGGATATACCCCAGTATGTACCTACTATATTGTAAGAAAATAAAACATTTTCATTTTTACATGTTTTATATTTTTGACTCCCGATCAGCTCATTGTACTCATATGAGTACACCTACTTTTTGCTAAAAATTTAATTTTTTTATGTCAAATAACAATGAATTGTTACTATTTAATCCAGATCTAACAAGGACATTAAAAAAATCTTGTATTATCAAAAAAAAAAGTGGGATCAACTGGCTTAAGAACAATATTACCGATAATTATGTATAAGTAACATTTTGAAATTAAAAAAAAAAACAAGGATTTGGGCGTTAATGGGTTAATGTAAATGAATATATTTACCTTGAACTGAGCATCAAGAGGTTTCCATAACTCATCTTTCTCTTCACAATTTACGTTCTGTAGGGCGGATACGTATCTAGGAAAGTTTTCCCTGCATATGTTGGTTTCACCGCATTCAATGGCTTCTACAAGTGCGTCATGGATAAAAATGTACTGTTCTTCTGTTTGAACTAGGAAATTTCGCTGTGCCCGAATATGCTTTAAGAATCCGTAGATATTTACTTCGCCTCTGGTTCTAATTTGTCGAAGCATAGCGTCTAGCACTATGTAAGTTCCGGTTCGACCAACTCCAGCACTGTTAACATTTAATTAGTTAATAATACTAAATGTACAAATATACAGGGTGCCCCAAACTTCGGGTTCCTTTTTGTTACGGCTAAACTATGGAGTATATAAAAAATATTAATAACAAAACTGATGTATATCAAAGACGTCTGTAATTTAAAATTATTTTCAATTACACAGGGTCAGCTAGAACAAAGAAATAAACCAAAGTTGTTTTTTAAATGAAACCTCTGTATATTAAAATATATCAGGTTTTATAGATCTTTGTTAATGATTTTCGAAATATTTTAAATTCTATTGAGAAAAATGGTAATATTTAATGGGCTATGGAATAGATTTCCAAGGTAATAAAAATGTGACATTTCAAAGTGTTTCTAGTATAGTGTTATGTTTAAAATAATACGTTTGATACCTGGTCATACAATATACAGTGTGATCACAATTTTCAAATACAAAATGTTCTCATTTCTTTTAAGGGGACAGTCTCATGCGAAACTTTCAAAAAATCAATTTTATTTTTTTTATATAAATCGCTTCCATTTACATTCAAAAACTCCCTCCTAAAATTTTAAAAAGAAATTCCCACTAGAATATAAGTTATAGTTATTTCATTAACGTCATCTACGCACGTATGAAAACCGGTTTCTCTCCGCGCGGCGAGCGCTAGGCTCCAGCGCTGTTCTTGCTTTTGTATATATGTTGTATATACGTTGGGTATGTATTAGTGATTCATTTTTATATACTATGTATATTAGTATAACTTTTGGCAGTTACTATACACATTTGGAATTTTAAATCCGGAACATAGGATTTTTTACAAATACTAAGATTCTCTGCGTTGCAATTAGCCAGTGTAAATTTCTTTATAACTTCGCGATGTTTTATAACTAATTTATTTGTTCCTCTGGATTACTTCTCCTCAGCAGTTTGTAGTAGCGTATATGGCACGCTGACAGTGTTGCTCCGTCTACCGATTTTTCCCGAAAGTCCGGTTTTGTGCAGATAATAAATAATGTTTTATTGACATCAATTTTGTTTGTATTCATTAGGTATTATTTGAGTTATAAAATTTATACTTAAATACATTTATTAATCCAAATTTTGTTTATAATTTCAAATTAAAAAGAGTGTAATATAATTATTTTATTTTTAAAATTCCTTTTTATTTATAATTTTAGAAATAAACTTTTTTTCAAGCCGTTTTGGCAATAAAACATAACCATTTTTTTAGTTATAAAATATTTTCATATCTACATTTATAAATAAGTACGTTTTCGTTGAATTGACATGCGATCTAGGTGTGTTCCGTTTTTACACTTACACTTTAAGCATCGCGGCGTGAATTAAGAGTGAGACTCCAGTCAAACAAATGAATTAATTACAAAACATCGCGACGTTGTATTGAAATTTACAGCTTTACAAAGCCATTTACAACAACTGTTGGATGAAGACGGTCCTCAATATTCACCAGGAATGGCCGATTAAACGTGAATATAAAGTTATCAGCCTTTTATTCACGAAAATTATGTAAAAAAAACTTTAAATGCTTTTTTCTCAAAAGTAACATTTTCAAACTGGTCAGACACTTTTCTCCGAACCTTCTTAACCGATTTTAAAAAACCAAAAATTTTTCGAATGTATATAAAAAATACTAGATGATAAACCTTTAAAATATTTAAAAACCACCCCCCTTTTTATTATATATGGGTAAATCCACCCAAAAATATAGTGATTTTTGGACTTCTTTGAAAAAATTCGTATAAACTTTTCAAAATACTACAATTTGCATATTTTAAAGGTTTATCATCTAGTTTTGAGTCTCACAAATACAACCCATTTTGAATTTTTTGAATATCTGTTATAGGTGACCCACAAAGTGTCTTACCACCAAAAACGCACTTTTTACTACACGCCATCTACAGGACACCAATGAAGTTAAAATCGCTATTAAAAATTTTTATTATGTACCTCAAGACTTACTTAATCATCTCCAAAAGGAATTATGTTAATAAATATTATAGTTTTTTTTCTGCTTTAATTTTAAAATACGTCTTTTTTTTTAATCGCATGAGACTGTCCCCTTAAATGGAACACCCTGTATATTAGTATTGTTTTTTTTTAGAAAATATTAACTTTATTTTGGTATAAGGTTGTCATACAGCATGTTTCGTGTAATGTATTGGCCATGTAATTATAAACCCCACTCACGACGCTCATGTATTGCTAATTATCGAATTATATTCCAGCTAGGTTTTAGGTAAAACAATTAACAGTTTTGTTTGATATGAAGTCAAATAAAGATTTATTTTGGGCTTATTTTTCATTTCATTTCGTTTTTTTGATATTTTTTTTAAATCAAAATATCAAAAATTAAAAAAAAACGTATGCTAGTAAAAACTAGTTTAATTTAATAACTTGTCATTTTACAAATTATGTTTAAAAAAAAATGAGAAAATTTTGTATTTGAAAATAGCAATTACACTATCTTGTATCGCTTGATGTCAAAAATATTAAATTATTTAAAAATGACAGTACACTATACTAAAATTCAATAACCTATGCAGCAGACGTAAACATTAGCAGGTATAGGCCTCTAACAGGGCCGCACTTAGCATTATCTTTTCGTTTTGCCAGAAGTATTATCTTGTAAAATACGAAATTTATATTTTAATTTTGCAAAAATGTGAGACAAAGAACATGTTTATTTTTAGTTGATACCCTACAATAGGAAACATTCATACAGGGCGAAATTTTTTTTTATATAGAGTGTTTCCAAAAAATATAAGTTTTATCTATAATTTTTGTTGTAGTTATTTGTACGATTCCAAAAAGTGTAAATATTGCAAAACGGTTAGTTTTTTTGAAATTAAAATACAAAGTTATTCATAATTCGTTTGAGTTCGGTGTAAATATATGGCAGAGATCGAGATCTCGGCTACTTTTAAAAACATTATTCTGATGAACTGGATAATAAGATCACTATTATAAACAGTTATAATATGGTGGTTCCAACATGTGTTTCAATTATATTGTCCAGCCGCCACATTTCCCTTTCTACTTTTTCTTGGACATGTAAAATGCAGTTCTTTCATATTTCTGGTGTAATTGAAGAAATTGAATTATAAAAAATAGATTTATGACATCTAAAAATTTGAAGGTGGTGTTTTTTTCCTTCACTATCATTTTTAAAATTTGCCCAGATGAGTTCTATGGGGTTAAACTCACATTAATACGGAGGAAGTCTCAATACCAGTTTATTCTGGGTTTTTGCCTTTTCATCAATTACGTACTTACCTATCATAAAAATTTTTATGTTTTGTTACGATTGAAAGAAGATGTACTTTAAGCATATGTTCATCAAATTTTATATTTTTTTAACGGGGCAATTCTAAATATTGCTTTTTTTTAGATACACTTGTTGGTATTTTCTCTATTTTACAAGAATAGTACGGTGCGTTTTTAAGAACAATAATATACGTATCTTCGAATATTGGTAAGACATTGGAAATTTTCACCCATTTTCAAAAGATTGATCTATCTCTGGATCTGACTGTCTCTCCATGATAATCACCAGACTTATTCGAGTCAAAAGTACAGTGGACATTTGAAAAAAACCCATTCTCGCTGTTAATGTGACAAATAATAAGTCTTTAGCTAATAATTTAAAGTATTTGTAAGTTTTGAGATTTGAAATATCATCATCATCAATGGTGCTACAGCCCTATGAAAGAGCCTCGACCTTCCCAAGTCTATTACGCCAGGCAGTCCTATCCATTGCCAACCGTTGCCAGTTTGCTGCGCCTATCTTTCTACCATCCTCATCTACACCATCCTTCCATCTGAGTTTTGGCCTACCCCTTTTTCTGCTTCCCACGGGTTGTGACATAAGGATTCTTCTAGGAGGGTTGTTCTGCTGTGATCTTGCTAGATGTCCTGCCCATCTTAATCTTCCTATTCTTATAAGAGATACTACGTCTTTACCACCAAATATTTGTTTATATCTGTGGTATACCTCGTAGTTGTATCTCCTCCTCCAAACACCATTTTCACAGATGCCACCAAATATTCCTCTCAGGATCCTTCGTTCAAATATAAGCAAAAGGTCTTCGTCTGCCTTGGAGATGGTCCATGTCTCCGATCCATATGTCAACACTGGCTGTATAAGGGTTTTGTATATAGTTATTTTTGTTTTTTGGCTTAAGTTTCTACTTCTCATATGTCTACTCAGTCCAAAATAGCATCTGTTTGCCATTACTATCCTTCGCTTGATTTCTTCCGTTATGGCGTTCTCTTTGGTGATCAGGGAGCCTAAGTATGTGAATTTGTCAACCACTTCAAAGGTAGAGTTATCAACCGTGAATTGGGGACCGATGTTCCTGGCTCTATTGTTGGGTGTTGATGCCATCATCTTAGTTTTCTCCTCATTTACTTGCAGGCCAATAGATTTTGAGGCATTTGAGAAGGTGGTATACATTTCTTCTAGCTTGCGTGTTGTGCGGGCAACTAGGTCCACATCATCTGCATATGCCAAAATTTGGGATGATTTATTAAAAATATTTCCTCTGTTGTCTATTCGGGCATCTCTGATTGCCTTTTCCAGTGCTATGTTGAAAAGGAGACACGCCAGCGCGTCTCCCTGTCGCAGCCCAACATGCGTTCCAAACGCCTGTGATTGTTCGCCCTGTATTTCGACTTTGCAAACCACATTACGCATTGTAGCCTTAACCAATCTTATCAGTTTATCGGGAATGTGGAATTCATTCATTGCTTCATACAATTTATTTCTTAGGACACTATCATAGGCAGATTTGAAGTCTACAAAAAGATGGTATGTATCGATATTGAATTCATTGGTTTTTTTCCAGTATTTGCCTTAGCACAAAGATCTGATCTGTTGTTGATCGACCAGGCCTAAAGCCACTTTGATATTCCCCGAGAAGTTCCTCTGAATATGTACTTAGGCGACCATATATGATCCTCGAAAATATTTTGTATGCTGTATTAAGGAGGGTTATTCCCCTATAGTTTCTACATTCCAATTGGTCACCCTTTTTGTGTAGCGGGCAAACGATTCCAATACACCACTCTTCCGGGATTTGTTCCTCATTCCAGGCTCTCAGTATTATTTTATATATTTGATTAGTCACAGAAGCACCTCCACATTTGATAAGTTCCGCGGGTATACCATCACTTCCTGGAGATTTATTGTTTTTTAGGTGTTTTATTGCATCTCGTACTTCTTGAATTGACGGAGGTTCTAATGGTGAATTGTTGCTTGCTCCTCCGGGTGGTTGATTTGGATCTGGATCTTCTACTTCTATAGTAAGTAGTTCTTTAAAGTGTTCCACCCACCTTTTCAGTACTTCTTCTTTTGTATTTAGTATATGCCCCTCCTTATCCTTACATAGTCTGAGCCTTGGTTTGAATTCCTTTCTTGCGTTATTCAGAGTTTTGTAGAATTTTCTTGTTTGGTTTTCCTTATTTAATACCTCAAGTTCTTCCAATATTCTATTTTCGTGATTTCGCTTTTTCCTTCTATGAATGCACTTCTCTTCTTTTCTGAGATCTTTATATTTTTGCTGTTTTTCTCGGGTTCTTCTTTGCTGCATCAGTTTATATGCATCGTTCTTTCTTCTTGTAATGTCCTCACACTCAGCATCAAACCAGTCATTACGTGGTGGTGGTCTTTCTGGCCCTAGAATATTATTTGCTGCCTCTTTAATATTATTTTTACACATTTCCCATTGTTCACTAATTGTTAGATCCTCATGAATTATGTGTTTAGTTTCGATATAGTTTTGAAACCTTTCTACTGTTTGCGGATTTTTGAGGATTTCAATATTGAGACGCGTTGTTTTGGTGCTTCTCTCCTTCTTCGCATTTGAGATTCTAGCTCGAATTCGTGTGCCAACTAGAAAGTGATCTGAATCAATATTGGCGCCTCGATAGGTGCGGACATCCATTAGGTTTGAGAAGTGTCTAGCATCTATGATCACATGATCAATTTGGTTGTTCGTTAGTCCATCAGGTGAGGTCCAAGTCCACATATGTATTTTTTTGTGTAGAAAACATGTGCTTCCTACGATCATGTTCTTTGCGGCTGCGAAGGTGACTGCTCGGTGTCCATTCGAATTTGTATCATTATGGAGACTATATCTACCGATGTGCGGTAGATATATTTCTTCCCTTCCGATTTTTGCGTTCAGATCACCGATTACTATTTTAATGTCATTTCTGGGACAACTGTCATATGTTCTTTCTAATTCCTCATAGAAATTGTCTTTTTCTTCGTCTTCCTTGTCCTCTGTTGGGGCATGTACATTAATAAGACTAATATTAAAAAACTTACCCCTGATCCTTAAGCAGCTCATTCGTGGATTTGAAATATGTAGAATGTAATAAATTACTTTCAGGCTTTTTAAATCCCGTTGTAATTTAGCCAAAAAAGCTTGATTAGACGATTTTACTGTAGTGTCTCCCCATATTTTAGATTTTGTATGCCCAGTGTTCAACCATCTCTCATCCAGATAATAAATTTTGCGGTTCTCTTTTCTATCTATATAAGTCCTTATCTGTTGAAGATATTCTCGACGCTACACCACAATGCCGTCTCTGTCTAATAAAAGGGAACTTCTTCCCCTGCGTTGATAATGAAAATTATATATTTTTTAATATTCTATATAATGCGGTTTTTGTAAAATTTGGCAAATCATTGACCCATCATTCACCTCCTTTAAAATCATACCCACGGTGGGTATCTCGTTTCTCATAAAAAAATTAAGAACCTGTGTTTTAATTGTATTTTTGTCTAATTCATCTATTTTACTAAACTTTTTTTTCCTAGTCGACATACGTTTGGTCCAGCGAACTGATGATTAGTTTTATATTCGTTAATAACCGTAAATACACTTCGATCACAAAGTTCAACTTTACTCGCCACTTTTTCTACAATATCTTCAACCATGAACCTGGAATTTTTTATTGTTTCATATTTAAATACATTTAACATTATTTCTTACACTACAGCGCTAACAGGACTGATTGTAGTTCGTTTTCGAGAAGGACTCAATGTATTTTTAACTAATTCATTAGCTGAGAAGTGGACGGCACTATTAACAAATATTAACAGCATAATCATAACTAGTCATTTAACTATCAAAACGACAAAAATATTACTTACAAATCGATTCAAAATACAACAGTTCAATACCAAAATGGTAAATCTAGTCCGAGCCGACGATGACGACAAGCAATTTTTCCAGTAAAGTAGAGATCGTTACTTCATTTTGTTTTTGAATATTCTTGGACAATCGTTACTTACATAATCGTTTAAATTATTTATTAATTTAATTAATGTGATGATTTTTTCACTAACTATGTATTCAGTGATCACAATAACGTATATACTATGAAATAAAAACTAATAATCGAGAAGAGAAAAATTAATAAAGGAATCTTATATTGTTAATATCTGAACGACTAGATAAATGTTGAACATCTTTAACAATTAAAATAAAATTTGATCCGTTGTTTACAAGGCCTGCATTGCTTATTGAAATTTAGTTTAGAAAATCTTTAACATGCCATTTACATTTTTATTACCTTGGAAACCTAATCCACAGTCCATTAGTATTACAATCATTCTCAATAAAACTGTAAATATTTCGAAAATTATTAACTTTAGACCTATAAAACCTTATACAAACTCTTCATAGCTAAAGGTTCTAAACCAAGGCTAAAATACAAAAATATATTCAAAAATTGTTTTATGTACAGGGAGTACCATTAAAACACATCTTTGGTTCATTCCGTTGTCATGACCGACCCTGTATAATCGAAAATAATTCTAAATTATAGACGTTTTGGATATAAATCACTTGTTATAATCACTTTTTTATATACTCCATAGTTTTATGTATGTATGCATGCTTGTTTGTGTTAAAATTTCCTAATTTTATGGTTTTTAAGTTACCTGCAATGTACAATAATGGGTCCGCTATCAGGTGGATTAGCCGAAGAAGAGTTCTTAACAAAATTAATAACCGGCAATGGGTGGTCGGGAGTTCCATGATCTGGCCAGTTAGTGTAATGATATTGGTAGACGGTTTTTTCAGCTGAAATATCCCTCTTCTTATTCTTGAACTAGAAAAGGTAATTTTTATCTAGCCAGTCTTAAAACGGCCAGGTTAGTACATGCAGTTCGACAAATAACACATCAAGAAAAATAAACTTAATTGAAATGTGAACAGAGATCTACTTACATTTACTTTCATGTGGCGAATTGCAAGAGTTCTAACAGTGTATGTAGCCATAATATCTTCCTTAACCAATTTTACTTGAATTATTCCATAGGTTTCAGTACCTTCCTTTGGCCAGTACATATCACACTTTCTCTGGAAATACGAAAACAAGATAAATCAATAGAAAAATGGCCTGATAAGAATCTGATAAAACTGTAAGATGGTCTAGGGATATTTTTATAAAATCATAAAATTAACTAGTTAAATCAAATTTCGCCAAAGTATAAATTATTCTCATTCTGTATATTTCTATATTTTTATCTATATTTCTGTATATTTCTATAGGTCAATTTATTTAGAAAAAAAAACACAATTTTTTTTATAATTTAATAAACATCTTAAATATGTCTATATTGTTATTATTATTATTATTATACATAACCGAGGGCAGAGGAACTAAGTCCATATTATGCCCAAAAACAAAAAAAATCATTAATAACTTACTAGTAAATAACAAAATTACAATTTTTGGTTTAAAAGAAAAACAATATTTTAACTATAATATAAAACGGTCAAAACTGTTTTTGAACGAGTTGGTAGAGACAATGTTATCGTTAAGGTTATTCCTTGCACTCAAAAACTCTATTTGGTAGAAAGTTATGTCTTGATCTTGTAGGAAACTTTTCTTTCTTTAGTTTAAACTGATGACCTCTGAGGCGTTCATCTTGATTAATGGTAAACATTTCATCGAGACTTCCAAAATTGAATTTTAGTATTTTAAAAGTTATAATTAAGTCTCCAAGTTGTCGGTGAAGTTCAAAAGAAGTTAGGTTAGCCATACTAAGTCTTTCTGCATAAGGTCTTCACGGTTCCAAAGAAATTCGAGTGGCTTTTCTTTGGACGTTTTCCAAATCTTGTCTCGAACCAGATCAGGATGCCACGTTGGTCCAGCGTATTAAAGTATGGATCTTACGTACAGAGTGGAAAGTTTACAGAATGATTGGATTAAAACTCTCGAAAAACACCTCCGAATAAGATACAGTCTGGAGTTCGCACGTTTACAAATAGAAGTAATATGGTCGGACCAAATTAGGCTGCTGTTTACGATAACACCAAGATCGTTATACGAAAACACAGAATCTAATGGCTGGCCGTTAACAAAGTACGGCACAAGTGGGTTATTTTTACCAATTCGAAGCACTACACATTTTTCCGCGTTTAAGGGTAGTAACCACTGGAAACACCAAGTTAATATAGAGTCCAAGTCCATTTGGAGGGTTAGCTGGTTTGTGATTGGATTAGCATATATTTTTGTGTCATCAGCGTAGAACGATATTTTAATTGAGACATAATAAGGAACATCGCTGGTGTAAACCGTAAAAAGCAGAGGTCCAAAAACAGAACCATGGTAATATCGATCTCTCAGGAAATCATCTATCCAAGGAAGTAAAGTACCGCGAACTCCGAAATGTAGAATCTAGCTTATGTAGAAGTCTGCGCTTAGGTACATGGTCAAAGGTTTTAGAGAAATCTAGATAAACGTCGACCGGCTGCGAACTGTTAAGGGATGACGTCCAGTCGTTCACACAATGTAAGAGATTGGTTAGAATAGAGCGACCAGAGACAAATCCATGTTGTTGTGTTGGAATAACATGTTCCTGGAGAAGGAATTTGGTCATCCCCTAGGAAATAATGGCTTCCATAACTTTGGCAACTACTGGCAGCAAGCTAATCGGACGATAATTGTTGGGGTTTGTTGCCTTTTTTAAAAATAGGGGTAACGGAAGCTAATTTCCAATTAGGCGTAAGGAGTTCTGGATGAAAGAAGTTTGCATAATTAACGTTAAGGGTATTGCAAGCGTGTCTGCGCACCTCTTTAACAATTTTGGTGTTAAACCATTTAAACAAGGTGAAGCGGTTATGCGAAGTTTAATTAAGTGTTGTTTGACATGATCCACTGTGAAATCAACTTGCTGTAAGGATGCGCCGACACGATTACAGTTAATAGCAGGTAGATAACCATCATTCGATTTTAGTAAAAACCTGCGAAAATGCTAAAGAGAGAGTTTCGGAAGATTCTTTGTCAGAAGAGCATAAAGTCTGGTTGGATTTCTAAACTAGAGGAATGGAAACTTTAGACGTCATGAAGGAACGTATGTATTTGTAGACTTTTTTAATGTTACCACTTTCAGTAACATTTGCTTTAAGATTTTGTCTTAGGGTTTTTAGAGATGTTTTTAAGTTATTTGAAAATCTGCGGTGGCTTTGGAAATCACTAAGAACCCCAGTGTGTTTAAATTTTCGCCATAGATGTCGTTTGTGATTAATTTGTTTAATTGCTGTTCGATTTATCCAGGGTTTAAGGTTGTTTTTATAACTCTTATGGAAAGTGGTGTTTGTAGAAATTATATTGTGGACTTTATCCAGAAATGTAGTCCACATTAATGAGGGGTCGTTTAAGTTTGCAAAAAATAAATGCCAGTCGATTTGAGAGAGTTCAATGTCAACTTAAGAAAAGTCGGTAGTAGCATATGTTATAATATTATTTTTGAGGGGTAATATTTGATTGGAGTGGATGTCAGCCGTTATAACTGCATGATCTGACTTTCCTATAGGAGAACTGACTTCGAGAGATGAAATCAGCTGTTGGTCATTAATAAGCGCTAGATCTAAAGTAGAAGGTTGGTTATTATTTCTAAATCTAGTGGGTTCTGTAATGAGTTGTATCAGGTTTGAATTTACTACAAAGCTTTTAAACAAATTATGAGCATTTTCGACGTCAGATTTATTGGCCAGGTGATCTCTGGGAAATTAAAATCTCCAGTAATGATAAGATTATCAAGAGATGATAGTTCTTCAAGTTTTGTGAAGAAAACATTATCGTGTGCAAGTAGTGTAATAGGTGGACGATATATACATACTAAATTAAGGCAAAAAGAATTCTTAGTAACAAATAAGTGAATTGCATCTATTCCAGTAATATCTATTAGCTTAATGTTAATTTTGAAAGTTGTGGTAATATTATTAGGTAAATAAATGCATACACCGCCACCCACATGATTGTTTCTGTCTTTACGATGTATTGTATACCCATTTATATTAACGGAGGAGTCAGGAATAATGTGTTTATTATATATAATAAAAAATTCTACTTACTCTTCCTCTTTCAACTAAGTTGGTAATCATCACAATTATGGTAACTCTCTGTTCCCATACCATTCTCCAAAAGCAGTCAAATGTTGACGGCAACGGACCTTGAGTTCCGATGTAAGCTCTGGCAACTAGAAAACCGTCAATGTAGTTGGCATTAATGTAAGTGGAAACTTTTTCTCCTTTAATTGTCAGCAAATTAACACGGGAGTGATCGTCTAAAAAATATTGTTTTAGTATAAACATAATAAAAGGTTTACATCAACTACTTTATTATTATGTAGGCTAACTATGCAACAACAAACTCATACACCACCAGTGCCTGTTTAAAACAGTCTGCTGCCCGGTGCCGATATGGATTCAATTCAACAAAACATATTTTGAATACAAGTTTATTAAAATAAAGAAAATAATTACACCTTTTTTTGGTTACCAACTTAAATGAATACTAACAAAATACAAAAAGAAAATTAAGGGCGAAGTTCAAAAAGTAAAATAAAAATGTACCTAATAATATTCAAACAGGTAACATGAGGTAGGTAATCAAATACCTTCACTATTGAAAAGTTTGTTTTCTTTCTTTTACTAAAGCGAAGTTTTCGATGATATCATTTATAGTTATTTCATTTAGCAGGTCCTCCGTTAATGGATAAAACTACTAAGGGATTCAAATTTTCTTGGGAAATTGCATTTCTTAAAATACGCAGGCAAATATTAACGTTTGGAGATGAAGATATTAATTTATTTTCGTATGAAACCTGTACCAATTCTAAAAGAGTGTCTATTTTTAATTGGGGAAGAGACGTTAACAAATGCTTTAAATGAACACATTCTTGGGGAAAATACTCGTCCAAATCCTCCTTGTATTTTTGTTGTAATTCGGTTGCTGATCTGAAAATATCTTCATCTTCCGTAGTTTTTAGTTTAAACAAAAATTCAAATGCTCTTGAAAAAGATTTATAACTATCAGATCGGCGAATAATATCCGACTTAATATTGTCTATTATAAAAACATAACATTGTGTTCGCAGTTTTTTTTGGCTAAAACTTGGCTATGAATTCTTTTCTCCTAATTACAATTTTTTTTGATAATCCTCTTCTCAGAATAATATTCGTTCCCTGTTAACAAGATACCTAAGGCCTTGTAGTGATCAAAACGATCACGTAAAAATCGAAGTAATCTGCTAATGATGATAATAGATGAGCGGTTGTGCTTAAATCCATATTTTCCTTTTGTACTTTAAGCCAGAATGATAAAATTATTCCGTTTTCCAACAAATCAAGTTTTTCCGATAGAGAAGCTGCTTCAACTTCTATGTTTTAATCAAACCGTAATTGCTTTTTAACGCTTTAACAGCATCAAAACGAGAAGACCAACGGGTTGTATTCACTCTTTTAGGTAACAGTGTCTGCCCCGACTCCGGCTAATCCTTTATTACATGAGACAATAACTCCCACCTGTGTGTAGACACTGAGAAAAAATTGTAGATAGCTTGTACCAACATAACAGATGTTGCTTCCACACAACAATCTGCTGCATTTTGGACAACCAAATTTAAAGAGTGAGCAGCACAGGGCACACAAAAGGCTAAATTATTGTAAACTTTAATACGTGCTTGCAAACCAAAATGCTTGCCACTCATATTACTGGCATTATCGTAAGACTGGCCTCTATAGTTCATAATATGTAATTTCAAAGACTCTAACATCCCAATAACTGTTTCCTCAAGTTCTTGTGAGTTATGCCAGTGTTTTTATAAAATCCCACGAATCTTTCCACGGGATTCCCTTTATTGTTACGATATCTCAAAATCACTAAGTTGGTCATGGTGTGTTATATCAGGTGTTCAATCTAAACTTATAGAATAGTATTTGTTTAGCTTAATTTTCCTAACAATTTCATCAATGGTTCGATTGGACAAAATATTCAGTAATTCGTTACATATACTTTTTGATAGATATAACGTTTTGTCCTTACCTAAATTTGCTCGTTTATTAATATTAACTTTTAAAAACGGATTATATTCTGACAATAGTTCCAGTAAACCTAAGGAGCTTCTATTCCGTTTTTCGCTAATTCTTTCATGAGTACCTCTAAATGCCAATTCCCTGGTAGCCTGGTAACATAAACTGAACACCGTACATTAATCATATACGTCGACGGTAATAATAATAATTTATTTATAAATTGTAAGTATCAAAGTTAATAATAAAACACAAACATGTTTATTATTATTATATAATGTGGGTTTGTATGCAAATTTTATTTTACCATAACCATATGATTTCAAACGCCATCGAAGAGGACAGAGAATATATATCGAATGATGAATGTCAATAAGTCTTCAAAGAGTTTCTTTCAGTTCACCTAGTTCACTAAGCTACTCGAGAGAAGAAGGAACATTTGTTTTGGATATGGATGTTAGCAAAACTGAGATAGAAATTGTTCTTTCTCAGATTTAAGACGGACAAGAAAAAGTCATCGCTTACTTCATCCAAATCTTATCAAAATCAGAAAGAAATACGACGCTACCAGGTGACAACTAGTTCTTGTGAACATTTTCATAAATACCTGTATGGTCGAAAGTTTTTTCTTCGAATTAATCATGCAGCCTGAAGTCGCTTGTAAAATTTCGCAATCCAGAAAATCAAATGGCAATATGGCTAGAGATTACAAGAATACGATTATGACATCGAATACAGGGCAGGAATAACTTTTATCATATTTGATGAACTACTGTATCAAATGATTAATGGCAATCTCAACAGCTACACCATGTCCAAATGATCAAAAAGCGTAAAGATGAAAGAACCGCTTGGCACAATGTGTCTGTAGTTCAGAAGTTAAAACCTATTGGAGCCAGTGGAATTGCTTTGTACTGAAGATAATCTTCTTATAAGAGTCTTTGTAATTTTTAATGATTGTAAATGATGGTACTGAATCAAGTTGATTTTACCCAAAAGTAAAGTGTCCGAAATATTGTATGTGGATGCACCGGGGATGGGCGGAAGAGGATGTATACAGATGGTACCAATGGTACAGATATACTAAAAGACCAATATATGGCCAGTAACAATAGAAGTGTTACCCCCAGAAGGAATAATTTCTTAAACTTATATTTTTGGCAACAGAATGATTAAATTTAAAGGATGATATGATAACAATATCATGGTTTATCTTTTATACTTTTTTTAAGGTAGACCTGTTACTACGCGTACATTATACCGTCGCATTCGAGCCCTTGGACTGGTTTAATTTCTTCCTTTGGCGGTGGACCAGTGTCATCAACGTTTGAATTAGTGAAAAGAACGGCAGCATTGGGTGGTAGAATGGCATAATTGTAGCATTCATTATATAGCATAGACTTTGTTTAGTAATGCATGATGGTAAGACGCCGCCGTGGAGAGCTAGATATTGGGTTTGCTGTTGAGAGGCATATACAAGGACAGTTGGAGTAATGGATTTGGGGGCTATTGCCTATGGCAGCCACGTTAATGCTTTATCTAGACGGCTGTTGACACGTCCCCATATTGCTTGTAGAACTATGGAATTTCTCCAAAAATCTAGCATTAATGTTTTGCCGTGGCCAGCCTGTTCACCGGATTTAAATCCTGTCGAACATCTGTGATGATGAGAAAGATACTGTCCACTTTGCACCATCTCCCACAGACTCTGGCACAGTTAATCCATGTATTTCAAGTACATATCAATAAAAATTCTTGCCAACGGTATCGTTTCATTCTTGATGTAAATCTACAATGTTGTCAAAAAATAAAGTTCAACAAATTATTCCTTCTGAGTGTAACACTTCTAATGTCACTGGGATTTCTCGATTCATGAATTGAACATTCAAGTCTTGTCTGGTTATATAATCTACAACGAACGACGTCGAGGCCTATTCCCAATGGGAAAGTCCGTATAAAATTAAAAAGGGATACCAAAATCTGTTCACATAAATCGCCTTATCCCATATGTTGGCTAAAATGATATAGAACCTTCTAGCATCAAAACACTGTTAGTTACTGACCAAGTTTCAATGACTTTATATAAAATTATTCGGATAGAAAAAAGACCAGATTCGGTGTGACCATAGAAGTACAACAATATCTTTTTACCGTTCCAGAAGATATGTCTCTATAACTAATTGTGTCACATAAGTCCTCAACATAAACAAGGGAATCTCCAAAGTGTCTAACAAAATGTTCGGGCGATTGCATGAGTTGAAAAATCAGCAGCCTAAAGTTAATAAAGTACTGCGTTTAGAATATGGCCGGCTTGTGACCAAGAGCTCCTCTACCGGAAGAGTAACCTACGAGAACATATGGCGTACATTAACCGCTTTGAGAGAAATTAGGTGCTACCACAACATAAGAAAATTAGCTTTATCAACGATACGCAATTTGAAAGTAAAATCTTCAAAAACGTTTGAAGTCATTTTTCGAGAGACTGGCGTACACATTACCAAATGTGTTGCTTTAATGCAAAGGGATCCTGCTCTACAGTGGACTGTTACTTCTTTCTTGGCTTGTTCTGAGAAAGACCTGTCGCCTTCACCACCGAGAAAAGATGCCTGGAATTTCTGATCTCGACGGTCAGAGCTAAGAAGGGGGCAGTGTTATAAGCCCTGATATGAAGTTCCTCGTGACCCAGCAGAGTGTAGAATGCATGCGATATGTTTGGAATAATTTGGAACTGTAAAGAGCAGATTCGGAAAAACGAATAGAACTTGCTAGAAGAAATTTAATCGTCACCATAAAAAGACTGGTTAATTTTGTGTAAAGGTTAGTTATTAAGGAATAGTTTTAAAAACATAACATTTGTTTAAAGTTTAAATAAATCTGTGCAAATAATTGGAAATGCCAGTTTAATTTTTGTTACAGTATGTTTGTGATTATCTAAATATTTAACTTTTGTGATAACCGTAAAAGCCTATGAATTGTCATTTTTTAATCGAAAAAGAAAACAGGTATAGCATGAGTGTAAAACGAATATTAGAAAAACGATCAACGAAGTTTACTGACTGGCTTTTGATACATCATGGACGTAACAAAGTAATCCGACCAGGTAAGGAAACCTGATATCTATATTATCAGAAGGATGTCCCTATCAATTAAATTTCAATGAAATAGAAGATATACATAATTCAAAATCATTATGCTCTTTACCTTTAGTCATACCACGGTTGTCTTTCCTTATTATATGTTTCCATTTGTTTTTATCTAGACTTATCCTCTTCACAGATGTTTTACCATATCTTTTTTGGTCTTTCTGCTTTCAACTTTAAATGTGTCCCTTTTTGGCATCGGCCGATAGGATACCTAGAGTTCCCCTAATGTATTCATTTTGAATTTAATTTTGTTTTTGTCAGTCTACTCCTCGAGCTAAGCTCTCTCATGTTCTTATACCGACCCTAAATGCTTAACACTGAGTCCTGATACAACCTCACCCACACATAAAATTGATTAGTCTTTCACATATCTGTCCTAACAATAATTTTTAATATAATTTCTACTTTGGTGAACATCCTCTTTGTTTTTGTAAACAGATACTGTGAAAAGCTACTTTTCCAATCATCGTGCGTTTGTCACACTCTGATAATTCATAACAAATTTGTTGCTATCTATAATTCCTTCATACACTATCCATACTTCTCTAAGGATGTCATTTGATCCAACTCCTTTTGATGCAATTCGCTTTACATTAAATAAATCCTTGCTCCTTTTCCCTTCTTGCTTAGTTTTGGGTATTTTATATTTAGTGGTACCTCGATATACGAGCGCCCTAATATACGAGTGTTTTGAGATACGAACCGCGGAGCAAACGATATTTTGCTTAAGATGAGAGCAAGATCGCCATAAAGATCATTTTACGGGTCTGTACGTGACTATTACTTGGACCGACAAATTAAATCATTGGAAGTTAAATCCGACAAAAATTCGGATTCTAATACTAACCATATTGCACTCTCGATGTCAGTGTAATTTACACTGTGTAAATTTTTACTATAGACCTCAGTCTGTCTGCTTTGCTTGTGTCCCTCATTTTCGAAGTATTTTTGATAGGTTGGGTTCGCGTTTTGTGTTTTTCTTACAATATAACATTTATTTTTACAACCATGGGCTCGAAGAAGAAGGTCTATTGAACTAAAACGTGAAATCATTGAAAAACATAAGCAAGGTGTACAAGTAACTGACTTGGCGAGGCTGTACGGGCATACCACATCAATGATATGTACTGTACTTAAACTGAAGGAGGTGATAAATGGTATAATGCCAGCTAAGGACATTACAATAATTTCTAAGCTCCGGACTTCTCTTCATGAAAAGATGGAGAAACTACTGATGGTATGGGTGACAGAGAAGCAGCTTCAAGGAGGAACCTTAACACCAAGCATCATATGTGAGAATGATTTACGAAGATTTGCTGAAGCAGATCACACACACTTCCACAAACGACAAATCGGAAGATTCGTTTAAAGCCAGTCGGGGCTGGTTTAACAACTTAAGAAAAAGGACCGGCATTCACTCCGTCGTCAGGCATGGTGAGGCAACAAGTTCGGATGTGAAAGCAGCTGAGGTTTACATCAAAACCTTTTCCGAAATGATAGAAGCCAAAGGATACATCCCCCAGCAAGTCTTCAACTCTGACGAGACAGGGCTTTTCTGGAAAAAGATGCCAAATAGGACTTGCATAACGGCAGAGGACAAGACGATGCCAGGTCACAAACATATGAAAGATAGATAAACTCTACTACTTTGCGCCAATGCGAGTGGCGACTGTAAAATCAAACCTTTTCTAATGTACCATTTAGAAAATCCCAGAGCCTTTAATTCACATTAGATTTTAAACGAAAAACTGCCAATTATGTGGAGGGCAAATCCAAGGGCGTGGGTCACCGGACAATTCTTTGTGGAGTGGATAAACCTGGTGTTTGCCCCTTCTGTTAAAAAATATCTACTGCAAAACAACCTACCCACGCAAACCCTTCTTGTCCTCGATAATGCCCCTTCTCACCCACCAAATCTCGAAGATGATTTACTCCAAGAGTTCAAGTTTATAAAGATTCTCTACCTACCAGCCAACACCACTCCTATCTTGCAGCCCATAGATCAGCAAGTGGTTTCTAATTTTAAGAAGTTGCATAGTAAGCACATTTTTCGCTGCTTTGAGGTGACGGAAAACACAAGCCTTGAGTTCTGGAAGGGTCACTTTAACATAGTAATATACCAAACAATTATTGAGCAGGCCTGGCTAGGTGTTACAACACGGACCTTAACCTCTGCATGGAAGAAGCTGTGGCCTGAGGCTGTAGATGAACCCGGAGTGTCAATGGTAGATGAGATTGTTTTTCTTGGAAAATCCATGGGCCTGGATGTGGATGAACGAGATGTGAACGAACTCGTCGAGTAGCAGTCTCAGGAGCTGACAATCGAGGAGTTAGACGAACTACATTCGCAGGAGCTTACGGTGGTTCAACGAAAAATTAGTTTTGAAGAGGGGCCAGAATTGGAAGACGTTGTCTCTACAAAAGATATAAAGGAGATCCTGGGAATGTGGGAGAAAGTTGCAGAGTTCCTGGATAAAAATCACCCCGAAAAAGCGAAGACCACTGGTGGAAATTAAGAGCTTCGTAAGCACTTCACTTCTTATGTTTTTACAGAATATGTATGTATGTATTTTTTGTTACTTATAAATAAAAGTTTCTTTTTTTAAATACTTTTTCTTATTTAAAAACACTTAAAAACAACCACCGTGTTTTTTTAGGGACTGGATTAATGACATTTCAGTTAATTTCAATGGGAAAATTGCTTTGACATACGAGCAAGATTACGTAACGAATTACACTCGTATGTCGAAGTCCTACTGTGTATAATTTTAAGGGAAAACTAACACCAACTTGAGATAGATGGCATAATCTCGTAAGTGAAGTAGAAACTTTAATAATTATGTTATTTAATTTAGCTAAATTCTTATATCTTTATTGATATATGACTGATAAGAGTTAAAAAATATACTTACATGCAATGATGTTAAGATATCTATTTTTTGGTTTGTTATCTGGATGTTGAGATTGTTCAGATGGGTTATCATCGTTATTAGTTTCGTTTTGAATAGTGTCGTATTCTTTGCTGAATCCGATGTCACCGTCGGCATGAAGTTCTTGTACATGTCGAGCAAAGAGAGTAACCGGGATAGGCCGACCAGGAGAATCGTTTACAGGTTCAGGGATGGCATTCCAATCAAGTGATGCAGCAGTTCGTTGTACATTATCTAAGTAGTAATATGGCGCACGAAAACATTTTCTAAAATCAAATATAGACATTTTAATCAAAATAAATTACATAATGTTTACACGACAACAATGGCTTGTCTACAACGGTTTTATCTGAAGTAGGGAGTGACGTAGGCCTGTCTACTCTTGAATATAACCTTGGAAACATTATGAGAGACAGTAATATAGATGACAGAAGAATATGTTTCACCATGTTTTTTATTAAAATACTGGAAACTTCATTTTCATAAAAATGCAGTCAGGGTTTTCATTGCTAGATACAAGCCACTATAGAATCTTTTCAATTTTTTATTCTGCTAATATGTAACAGGATGGTAGTAAACATGATGTTTAATTTTCTCATGTATTTTCTCTGATTTATCGCGTGGTATAGTGAAAATGAAATATAAACTAAGTGCAAAAGGTAGGATATAAAGTAGTTTCTCCCTAGTGTGTTAAAAATAATAATTTAATTTAAACGATAAACACTACAAGTGAGTGATATGAAACATTGGACAGAGGCAAAAAGGTTATCAGATAAGCTAGTAAACGCTTAGCGGAATGCTGCCCGAATTCTAGGTGGTATTGTCAGATTAAAGAAAAAATATCCCGAAAATAAATAAGAACAATTTTGGTACGTGGATAAGTGAGGTTACCTTCGAGTGGTTGAAACGGATGTGCCCATTTAACGTTACCTGACAAAATTGACAGAAGAAATACTGAAGAGTTTAAATATTCTAACAACCGAAATAAGGGAACTACGAGAAAAGCAAAGAGATAAAACTGAAATAAAGGAACTCGGGCAAGAGAATGAAAAGTTGAAACAAGAAAACAAAGAGACCAAACAAAAAATGAAATATTTAAAACAGAAAATGGATAGAATAGAAAAGAACAAAATACGAAATAATATACTACAACAGGGAGTAAAAATAGATACAGAAGACCAAAATGTAATAAAAGAAAATGTAAAAGATTTCTTAATCAAAGGCCTATGGTAAATTGGAAGTAGTCTGCTTAATTGAGCTCCTAAACGCTACGGACAAAGAGACAATAATGAAACACGAAAGTAAACTAAACTTAAAAAGGGAGACTCAAGAAATCTTGAAAATTATAGATATAGAGGCATTAGTCTGATGAATAGTACATTAAAATTGTTAACGGCAGTCATAAAAGATAAAATCGAGTAAAAAGTGAACATGGCAGATGAACAACAAGGCTTCCGGAAGAACCGCAGCACAATAGACGCAATTTCTATTATCCGACAAATAATAGAGAAGTCTATTGAATATGGAAAACCAGCATACATGTGCTTTGTAGCTTTAAAAAGTGCTTTTGACAGGATGAAGCGAAATGACATCTTAAATTTATTACAAGCTGAATAAATAGACCATCAGATAATAAGAACAATTAATGAAATTAACAAGAACAACAAGACCAGAGTTATAATGCCAATAGGAGAAACAGAATGCATAGAACTAAAAGGAGGAATACGACAAGGAGACTCGCTCAGCCCTTTGTTATTCAATATGGTAATGAATTAAATAATTCACGAAGTAAGAAAACAACACGGATACCACATGGGAGCGCACAAAATCACGATACTATGCTATGCCGATGATGCAGTAGTAATTGCTGATAACGAAGATGACCTACAAAGGCAGCTCCACACCTTTAATATCACAGAAAACAAACTTCATAAAAGAATATCAGTAGAAAAAACCAAATTTATAGTGATCAGTAAAGAGCCACGTAGATGCAAACTAGAAATAGACGGTAAAATTGTAGAGCAAGTAATGAAATTCAATTACCTAGGAGTAGAGATTACTAGTGACAGGGATATAAGAACAGAGACCACAAGACAAGCATCAAAAGCGGCAAGAGTAAGTGGTTGCCTCCGAGAAACCATATGGAGAAACAAATATCTGACCACGGAAGGCAAAATGAAAGTATACAAGTTAACAGTAAGACCAATCCTAACATATGCAGCGGAGACAAGGACCGATACAAGAAAAACGAAACAACAAATCAACAATATCGAAATGAAAGTAACTAAGACTAATATAAATTAAGGGAAAACAAATATATATTAATGATGACATGGACAAAACTGAACGTGATACAGAAAAATTAGAATGAAGACCACATAAGTTAAATCAGTAGGAAAAAATGTCAAGGTAGGATTCAAAAAATAAAAGATGAGGCATGGATATGGAATAAAGACCAGATGTTAAAAAAACACAAAACCAAAGCAGAAACCAAAACGACTGACAAAGGTTAATGAAACGAAATTATCACAGGCAATCGACAAAACGATGATTTGGATTAAAGTCAAAAAGAAAATTAAAACTATGAAGCAAGAAAACTTAAATTAATTAGAGAAATAAAAAATGTTGTAATATACATTATAGCTTTACAAGATACAACAATACAATAAGATACAGAAATGGTAGAAATAGAGGATATAATATTTTTTAAAAGTAATGGGGAAGACAGATTTTATGATACAGAAAATATACAAAAACAGAGTAATTTGACTTCAAGCCGATATCAGATAGAATGCGTACAATGAGGTCAGAAACATAGCATAATAGTTTTTTATTAGTTATAGTATATTAATAAATTATTAATTTATATTTATTTGTCAAACTGAAGAAGCTATTTCTCATCTTACTTCTGACCAAGCCAACCCTGACATTGTCATTCTCAACTCTTCTAATTATTTCGACAAAATGTTCGAACTTCTCAATTCCAGAGAATACAAACGCGTCCCCACCACCTCTCTAGCAAAAATACGACCAAATCCATTATAAATAAGTGTAATTCCAGAAGTTAAAAAACTTCGTATACCCAGAGAAATATTATTTCCGAATTCCAAGAATATACGACCTGCCCAATTCCAAGAAAATACATAAGTCCAATGCCCCCCTAAGACCCATCGTCAGTATATACAACACTTAGAAATTAGCAAAACATCTCGATTTATCCTTACAACCATCAGGCGAAAACGCCTCGTCCTTTGTCAAAAATTCTTTCCATTTCATTGATCTTTTAAAAAACATTTCCGTTTCACCCTCAGATATATTAGTTAGTTTTGACATTGTTTCTTTATAGAAACTAAATTTACTAAAATTTTCAAAATTTATTTTATCTAAATATGAATATTACAAAAATTGAAATTTGGTATTCGATAATAAATTAATAAGAGGCAACGGCATAGAATATTTCAGAAGATAGAGGCCTGAGAGCAGTAGCGTTAGGACTTAACTTTTGTCCTAACTCATGTTAATAAAGTGGACACGAGACAAAAAGAAATGACCAAGAGAGGACTCAGATATCAGTAACTTTTCTGAATCCCTAAATAAAAAATCAAAGGAAACGATCGAATACAAAAACAGTCGCGTACTCTGTATCTGCCCCAAATAGCTCCCAATAACTCCAATCAAGGTCCTGCAAGTGAACTTTGAATACACCACGGCTGCTTTTGCAGAACTTATTTTTGCAACAAACAAAAGGTTTAGAAATTCTATCACCTCAACATATCCAGTAAAGTAAAAACAGAAATTAATAAGAATTTTGCGAAATGTATGCATGAATATCTAAAATCAAACAGAAAAGAAGCAAAAATGGATGACAGATAAAATATTGCAGATGATGGAAGAGCAAAGAAAATTAAAAGGTAGAAATGACAAAGAATAGAAATTTCAACGAAGTTGAAACACTACAACGCAAACATGACGATTTCTATATGCACAAAAAAATTAAAGAGGTGCAGAATACCAGAAAATAACGCAATACAGTCTTAATTTTGACTACCAAACTTAAAAAACTTATCTTAACTTAAGTCCAAATTTTGAATACCTTCTTAACATGCCATACACCAAAGTGCGTAGGCGACTATCTCATTACTAGAATTCTGTTCTTGGCGGCGTGACACAGCTCACCTGTATTGTGTATTCCTGTCCATCTTTAATATTCCTTAACTAGGATAATTGTTTGCGGCCGGCTCCTCTCCTACCTTCGATCTTCCCTTGTAGGATTAACTGTGGTATTTCATATTTTGCTCCTCTCAATATGTGCCCAAGGTAACCAATCTTGCGTTTTTAATTAATTCAAAGAGTTCTCTTTCCACGCCGGCTCTATTAAGGACGTCATCGTTTCGAACTCTATCCACCCAAGGTATGCGCATCATTCTTCTCAATGACCACATTTCAAATGCTTCAAGTTTGTTGATAGATGTTTTTTTCAAAGTCCACGTTTCCATGCCATAAAGCAAGATGGACCATATGTAGCACTTGACCATTCTGTAGCGTATTTCGAAGTTTAGGTGTTGATTACATAGGAGCGGTCTGAATTTCACAAAAGCTTGTCTTGCCATTTGTATTCGGGTTTTTATCTCGTGTTGTGGATCCGATTGATCATTGATTGTGGTGCCAAGGTATTTAAAAGATTTCACGCGATTTATAGATTTATACGATTGTTACCTATGCATATTATCGGGTTTTCTGGAGGGTTTCTGCTAATGAAGTAACTATGGCCATTAAACAGATTAAAGATGGGAAATCACCAGGACTTGATGAGGTGCATGGTGAAATTTTAAAGCTATTAGAGGCACATCAAATCACAGATCTTACGAAGCTATTCAACAAAATAACGAGACTGGTTATTTACCAAAAGACTTTCTACTATTAATATTCAATCCACTTCTTAAAAAAGCCAACGCTAGAAAACGTGAAGATCATAGATTAATTAGTTTGATGAGCCATGTACTTAAAGTACTCCTTACTATCATTCACTCGAGCATATACACCAAATTAGAAGAACACCTGAGTGAAGTTCAATTTGGATTCAGAGCAAGACTCGGAACGAGGGAAGCACTTTTTAGTTTGCAAATTCTAATACAGAGAGCCAGGGATGTCGACTGCGATGTGTATGCATGTTTCATTGATTTCGAGAAGGCATTTGATAAACTCCCACATGGGAAACTAATCGATATCCTTAAAATATCAGGACTCGATGGTAAGGATATAAAAC